GCTCTGGTGAATTCTCTCACCCTCCCGCGCTTCTGACTGTACCCAGTGCTTGTATAAATAAATAAATAAATAAATATCTTTAAAAAAATAAAAAGCCCATCCACTTCCCCACTTCAAATCCCTCCACATACCTAATTTTATGTTAATTTTCAAACAATGCTACAAAAATCATTAAATCTCTATATTATAATGGTACTCATGTTGGAGTCAGACTAAAAGGGACAATGGAAAAATTACAATTAATGCCTTAAGGATTGTGAGTATTTAGCAGGAATACAACTTACAATAATTTTTTTTAACTTTTCATGTGAAATTTTGAATTCAATCAAAATTATTCGGAGTGTACACTGTAATCCTGTTTACCATCATCCAGATTCAACATTTACCAATTCATGGACAATCTTATTTTATCTGTACACAAACTCACTTTCCTTCTATATTAAATTTTAAGCAAATCCCAGACATTACCTCATCTTAAATGCCGAATACATGGCTCCAAAACCACATTTTTTTTAAATCTTAAAAAGTAAACACACTTAATTTTTAAATTTTTGAAATGCAAGCCCTATTCAGGGATTTATGTAAACAACTTACATCAGTGGAAAGTTTCACTACTGCAGATTTGGTTCACATTTAACTGACAAACAACATTTCTTTAGTGGGGTATCAAAAAACATCATCAATATTTGTTAGTGTGATTAGAGATCTCTGCATTTATCTGAACTGTGAGATTTCTAACACAAAAAGTTCCTATACTATTATTATCAAGAAGCACAGAGTTAAATCAAACTGAGGAATGTTCTTCATTTTGTGATAGATTTCTAGCCCCAGTTAGGAAATGACAATTGGGGCTGTCTCACCCGACTCCCACGCCTACGTACCCCTGAGCAAGATTTGTTTGACAGCAAAATATTAGCCCTGGAGACTTGTATTGACGGAAATTTATTTCATCTTTATTTAGTAACTTAATCTCCATAAGACTAATAGCAACATGATTTCATTTGACACCAATGTCACCTCAAACCTGAACAGAAAATGTACATGGTTATTTGTGATAACTTTGTGCCCATTCAAGTGCATGATGGATTTTGACTTTTCCTGAAGGTTCATTATAGACAATATGTCACAATACAATCAAAAAAAACATAACAACAAAGGTAGATTTTCCTATCAAGGTCATTTAAACAACAGATTTCCTACTCTTCTGCTCTGTTACCTGGAGAATGATAACCTAGCTGGCTAGAGCTGGCAATTGCTTCAACATTAAAGTGTACAAATCACCCATGTGCTGATTAATAAATCTCTATTTGTTTTTAGTTAGTCTGTCCTAGAACTGCAATGGGCATATTGATTTCTAGAAACAATGGAATTCATAATAAAGTACCTTCCACTTACAAGTATGGTTTATTTCTGGGTTTCTAATTTAGCTGAATGGCTATACATAACTTCTGATATGAAAGTAATCTGTGGTTTCAGCAAACACATAGCAAACAGGTAATGTTTTATCTGGCTCAAATTTTGAAGGGGGGGATCAGTCAACAGCTTCGTATTCTTACCCATTGAAAAGAGATTTGCCTTTAATTTTCGTGCTTTTAAAAATATACTCTTGATAATAAAGTAGGACATGATCCTTTAAAATAATAAATTTCAGGTATAGCAAAGATTCACTCATTACAATGGTTTGTAAAGTAATAAGATACTTGTTTGTTCCTGACTTTAAATTTGAGATAATTTATATTGCACATTGTAAAATTTGGGATGAATACAAAACAGATAAAACAGACCCATTACAGTTATAATTTAGCCTGTGCTGTGAGTTGTCACCAAATGAACAGAATTACTATTTCTAATGGTGAAAACTCTTACATATGTTTATGTTGGGTTACAAAATAGGTTCCTTTAAAGCATGAAGTCATGTAAGGGGCATCCATGAAACAGGCTGCTATGATTCTGGGAATTAAGATTCTAGTATACCTTGGGCACTTATTTCTTCCACATTGAGAAAGAAGCAAAGTTGTATGAGAAACTCATTATGTTTCAAACTTTACTAACAGCTGGTTTGATATGAAACACTTAAATAATGCTTTCATTCATTACTAAAAACTTGACACTACTCCAAATCTTCAACAATAACTAGTTCTCAAGGTAAAAATTGTAGTTTAAACAAATTATATCTTTTGGGAAAAGATATTTGGAAATCAGGATTTGGGTTCTGTGTAAAAATAAAATCAATAAGAATTAACTACTTACACTATTAATTCTGTTCTATATTCTAATTTCCAAACTGAACAAAATGTAAGGTTCCAGTTGTTCAGTAACTTTCTAAAACTGGTCTCAGCAGTGCTGTGGGTCACCTTTCTCTATAACAAAATTCAATTTTAACAGAGAGAGAGCAAGAGAGAGAGAGAGCACAATCTATTACCTCTGCAGATAAGCTGAACACATGAACACAGACCTTGCTTCTTTACTATACATGAAAGATACTGTTCGTTAACTTCTGATAAAAGAAGAAGATGAACTGGGATGAACCAAGTTGTTCTTCATGCTTTAAAGTTATCTATTTCATGACCAAACATAAACATACGTAAGCACACACAAGTTAGATAATTAAAAAAAAAAAAACTTTTCGATATTTGTTGGAGGGGAGAGAAATTAAGGTCTTCATTGACTATTAGCTAGTCCTTCTTTACTATTTTTTAACCCCACCTTAATTTCCAAACTCTTATGTTCCTCTTTGATGTTTAGTTTTAACAGGTTTGTCATAAATCAAAGTTCATTGATAATTTGTCTCCTGACAAGTAGTTCTCCCTGAGTGCTCAATTTAGAGAATTTCCTTTTGACTTCCCCTACTTAATCTCCACCACTTCAGGCTACTCAAATCTATGAGCAGACAACCATTTCCTTTTGCCTGCCTTTTCTGAATTATCACACCATCCCAAATTAGAGCAGAATCTCTTCTCTCTCTCTCTCTCTCTCTCTTAACTAGAAGTATTTTACAGCTTAGTAGGCTTAGGAATTTTCTTCAACAGTATTCTTTTCTACCAGAAAAGTGCCACCTGGAATGTTTTAAAGAATTAGATCGGGGGTTTTGAGAATAAGTTCAAGAAGCAAAGGCTGTTTTCTGCTCTTTAGAATGAGCCCTGACCTCATTTTGTTTACTCACAGGGGGCAAATGCTTTCAAGATCAGACTCAGTCACTTCGAAAAGGTGGTTACCCACACACCCCACAGCATATCGCAAAACTTCCTCTGCCGCGTGAGCAACTGTGAGGGAATGCGGCCAGCGCCTAGGACAGCCGGCTGCAGCAGTCAAAGGGAGGTGGCATGTATGCCAGTCGCCAAGATTCTGAGGGCCCCCAACTATGGCATTCCAGATCTTACCAGATTCAAATCTAACACAGATCTGGTCTCCACAAAGGATAAGGTGGGGCGGGGGAAGGAGGATCCGAAACAGAGAAACGTGGGCATTTTATCACATAATTGCTGGGCTGGGTCTCAAAAGCCCCAGTGCCCGAGGGGCATGAGGTGAAGAAGGGCGGGCGCCCAGGGCCAAGAGCCGAGGAAGTCTGGACCCGACGTCTGCTCTTGGAATTAGGAATTCCCTATTCTCATCACCCTCCCAGCCAGTTCTGTACCGGGGTCTCTGGCACCCCACCTCGGAAAGGGGCCCCGGAGGGTCTTGGTTAGGCTGTCGCGCGGGACGCGCTGGCCCACGGCCCCCGGTCACCCCGCGGGGGTTGCGGGTCGCCTCCCTGCCTCTCGGCGGGCGCAAGAGCCGGCTGGGTCGTGGACCCTCAACTCCCAGAGCGGTCGATCCTTTCTGGCCTGGAAATAGGGGTTCGGGTTGCCAGGGAAATTGCCGCCGCACCCCTGCGGTGCCCCTTGCGGATCTCTGGCCTTGCACCCGTGGGTCCTGCTCCGCTCGATCTTTCCTCGAGCGCCGCCAAGCTCGCAAAAGTGAGACCCGAGCGCAGATGGAAACCGGTTCCCCGCGACCCTCGCTACGGTCCAGGCGCTGCAAAGAGCAGGCGAAGCCGCCCTGCCCGGAGCGCGGGGAGCAAGTCCTGGGGCCCAGCTCTGGTCTCCGCGCCCGCCTGCTGGATCCTCAGTGGATTCTCTGCCGCCACCTGCCCGGAGAGAGCGCGAGGCCGAGGGAGGGGCCGAGGCGCACCCACGCGGCTGGTGGGGCGGCGGGGAACCGTGCGGTGCGCTCCCCCCAGGCCCTCGCTCTCCGGATGTGGCCCCACTCCAGCGGGATGGCTGCATTGGGCTGTGAGCTTGTCTGGCAGCTTCTACTGAGCAGCTAATAGTATAACAACCCGGCTTTGATAAATCTGAACTAATTACCCCTCTTAATTAAAGTCTTTAGCAGTTGTTTCACTGTTTTGGCAAGAAAACAGGAGAGACTTGCAGTTAGAAAACACCAGAGCCCGAGCTCACAGCAGAGCTGCTGATTAACACTTGAAGCATTTCAAGGACCTGGCACCCGCCACAGTTTGGTTTTCATCCATGTTTCCCCCTTGAATGGAAGTATATTCGTCTATAAACATATACACACATGTAAAAACACGGAGGCTCCTTTTGCCAGCTGTGTACAAATCAGCGTGTGTCTTGAGGATGCAAACAAGAGAGTCCCCTCTTCATGGTGTCACTGGAAGGCGTGCGGGGATGTGCATAACGCGAGTCCCCTAGATATGTTGTTCCCATTTCACTGAGCCCTGCAAATGTGTAGGACAGCCGGGGACACAGACATGTTTTTGTGAGAAAACGTATTTTCTGGCTCTGAACTTTATGAAAGTTTTACTTTACCAAAAGCCGTAACTACTTGGAGGAACTCTTGTCTGGTCCCTGTGATTTTTTTTTTTTCCAGATCAAACATAAGATGATCAGAATCCAAGGGCTGAACTTTTTTAAGAGGAGGAAGGATGAGAGGATTAGAAGTAGTGATCGCTAGCTGAATAATATAACAGAGCCCTGAAGTTTGTTGATTAAATAGGCATGTTCCAAATATTTATTTCCAACAGTCCATGAATCAGTTTTCACGTGCAAGAATCAAAACCAAAATTTAAATTCATCCATACTGAATCACCCTTATCTAATTCATATGTGTGTGTGTGCTCACAAATGTGGAATGTGCCTTTACAGGCACACACATCTCTGCGTGTATATATAACATACACACAATGTTTTGTTACCTCGGGGAAGGAGGAAGTGATAATAAACAATCGGCAGGCATCTTGAGATCGCAGAATCAACACAATGGAAATATATACAATAATAAAATTAAAATGGTGCAGCATTCCCGGGTAGGATAATACAGATCTCAATAAATACAGCAGAAATTTGTTTTTAAAAACAAAACAAAACAAACACCATCTCTCCACCCGAGATGAAAAGTCTCTCCAAAGTTTAAAAAGTAATCAGAAAACAAACACCCCCCCAATTTCTCATAATTGTTAGTGCCTATATAGAATATAATACACAAAACCATTCAGCAGGTGCATGCAAGAGGCAAAAAGCCAGGGAATGCAGAGGCTTCTGGGCAGCGCTAAAGTGTGGGGCCCAACACGCCCTCTGTTCTGCAGAGGAGCTTGTACCAGGAGGTCCAGCTCTAGTCTGCCACTGCCTCAGTAGTGGGACCCCAGCTGGGGCCGGGAAAGGACTTTGGCCTTAATCACTGGTGACCCTGGTGGAGCCCAGGCTGCAGGGGCCCAGAGGGCGGTAGGGGTGGTGGCAGAGGCGGGAGGGGAGCTGACGGTGGCTGCTGTAGAGGGGGCGCCGGGTCCGAGCCGGGCTGCCCAGCGGACGTGCGGGCCAGCCCCAGGCTGCTGTCATGCAGCTTGCGGACGTGCTTCTTGAGGTCAAAGTTCCTGCAGAAGCCCTTGCCACACGTGGGACAGGTGAAGGGCTTCTTGTCATTGTGGGTGTGCATGTGGAAGGTGAGGTTGTAAACCTGGTGGAAAGCCTTGTTGCAGATATTGCACTTGAACTGCTTCTCCCCGCTGTGGGTCAACTTGTGGTTTTTGTAATTCCCTGAAATAGACAAATGACAGGGACAGGGATCTGAAAAGAGAGTTTGAAAAGGAAGGGGAGGGGGGCAGAGGACAGCAAGGCAAGAAGAGCTGCCACCATTTGCATAGCTAGTGCAGGGAGGGCTGTGCAGGGAGCCTGTAATTCTCTTCCCACGTTTATTTTTAAATAAACCAGCAATGCGGCCTTCCCTCTGCATTTAAATCCATATTTATTAATCCAAGATGTACATGGAGAACAGGTGGTTAAAAAGAAATACCCCCTTGGTAATGAACTATTCATTTTCTAATACCAATCAGACTTGAGGGTTGGAGGTTAGAATCCCAACATAGGCGCTTAGTAACTAGTTGTGTTGTAAGATTTTCTAAAATATCCTAAGAACACCAATTAGGGCAAAACTGCCAAAAAGATAATGTCCTTGAGTTCCATACCTTTTTGATGAAATCCTTTGCCACAGAATTCACACACAAACGGTTTGTAGCCTGCGTGTATTCGGGTATGCGTGTTTAAAGTGGAACTTCTATTAAATGCTTTGCCACACTGGTTACATTTGTGAGGTTTTTCCTAAGAGGCAAGTAGGAAAAGCAGAAAAGCTACGTTATTTTGTTTTCAAGTGGGATGCTGCAAACTCAAAAAAAAAAAAAAAAAAACCAACCCAACAACACTGTGAGGCTTTCTTTTATGAGTTTAAACAAAACAAAGGCAAAGACTACCTAGCATTTCCAACGAACACACTTTAAATAAACCTTGAGTTAAAGAGTAAGGGTTTACCAGTCGCTTTTGCTACAAAACCATGCTGGTGTAAGCCAGGTGAAACTGAGACAGAGGAACACACCTGGGTGTGAATGATCTTGTGCCTGCACAGGGTGCTGGCTTGACGGAAGCCCTTTCCACACACTTTGCAAACGAAGGGTCTGGCTCCTGTGTGCACCGGCATGTGACGAGTTAAGTTATAGTGTGCGTTAAAGACCTTAAAGTAAAACACATGTAGCACAGGTTAGCACTTTGAATTCAAGTGAGCAAAGGGAGCGGAGCAAGGTGATAACCTTACAACAAATGTATACATACAATGACAAAATAAAACGGGAAGCAAAGCAGGAAGGAAGGAAGAAAGCAAGGAAGAAAGCAAGGCAGAAAGGAAGGAAGCTTTTAACAGGGGTATACATATAATGCTAAAATAAAACAAAAGAAAAGAAAAGAAAATGGAAGGAAGACATCTCTACTACACAGTACTTGCCTTTCCACACACTTCGCAAGTGAAAACTTTGGGTTTGGTATTAGGAGAGCCTCGACTGAAGTCAGAGGTTTTGAACGCGATTTTTTCTGACAGAAGCTGGGCGCTTTCTTTCATGTAATGCTGCAGCTGAGCCTGGGACAAGTCTTTGAAAGCTACTCCCGAGGGGTACTTCTCCACCGCCGGGACCACCAATTTATTCCTTTCGGCTAAATACGTTTTTGGCTGCGGGTGCAGAGGGGAACTGAGGAAATAGGAGGCTACCGGGTGGATGTTGACGCCGGCCGCCGGGTGGCACGGGCCATCACCTCGATTCAGGTAGCACAGAGCTCCCATGGCGTGGAAGGAAGAGTGGTTGACCACACGCGGCCTTACCAGCTTGTACTGCTGCAGGGGCAGCGCGTCGCGGGCCAGGTCGCCCTTGAGGCTCAGCGCGCAGTTGAGCAGGTCGCTGCAGCTGAAGGCGGGCGCCCCAGACGCCGCTGCGGGCACCGCGGGAGCCTCCAGACTCGCCTTCCGCGGCTCCGAGCCGGTCATCCCAGCCTTGGGGCTCGTGTCGTACGCCACAGGCACGAAGGGGATCATGCAGGGGATCGACGAGTTAAGATGAAGAGCATGCTTGGGGTCCCCTTTGGGCACCGCTCCCTGCAGGAAGTGGGGGACGGGCAGGGCCTTGGGCTCGGGGGTGCGCGCCATGATTCGCTCGATGGAGAAAGCCAAGGGCTTGGAGGCGCTCATCACGTTGCCCCGGGCCGGCGCCGTCGCTAACATTTTGGCAGTCGCGTTGTGGCAGCTACTGTCCATGTCGGAGTCGCCAGCGTCCGTCCGCCGGGGCCGGGCTGCGCCGTCGTCGCTTCGTTCCCCTGCTTGTCACAGACCTGCAGAGAGCAGGACGGGCACCATCACCACCAGCAGCCTCCTCCTCCTCCTCCCCAGCATCACCAGCCGAACCTGCCTGCCCAGCCCAATGGACTCCTGCCAGCCCATCGCAGAGTTCTTGGCGCACCAATGACTCGGGGACAATCACTACTTATTTCTATCAATAGAAAGTGTTGTGTCAATAACGCAGCCAAGATCTCGCCAATCGTTAACTTCCAAGAGGAGAAGGTAAACTAGATAATTGCTCAATTCGCTTCCAACAGTCAACAGGAAAACTTTTTTTTTTTTTTTCCTGCAGTCAGTGACTACTTTTCATTGGTGAGGGAGGTTCCCCCGCCCCTAGGAGGCGGGGGCGCTCGGGGCAGCGCGGCCCACCCTCCCCTCTGCGCACACGCTCCTGGACGCACACTTCGCTCCCTCCGCCCCCCGCCCCCCTCCCCACCCCCACCCCCCGCTTTTTCCTCTGTCTTTTTAATCTCAATCTGTTTAACCAGGCTTTAGAGGCCAAGCAAATCTGAGATCAATTTTCTCGTTTAGCTCTAAGTGACATCATCTAAAATCATTGTGCAAAGGCTAAATAAGGAAAGGAGTCTAATGCAGGAGCAAACGCCAGGCTATATTTATCAAACACCTGGCTCCTGAAAGCCGTGGCCAGGAAGCCTCCGACAGCAAAATCCCACTTTTCCCTGCATGGTTCTGCTGGGCCAGGACTGGGCCCAAGTCAGAGCTGCACCGGCTCCTCCACAAGCCCTGTTTTTCCTCTAGGGCCCCGGGCTGCCTGCTCCCGGCATTCTCCAGTCTCCGCGGCCCGAACCGAGTCCGGACCTTTTGGAAGACGCCAGCAGGTAACTGGCCTCCCAAACACCACCCACCCCCCCACCAGCCCCCCGACAACGAAATGCCTTGGGAGGCTTGTTATGTGTTTGTGGTTTTGTAAATACGATGGTATGGCAGACGCTTGGGAAAGACACACTCCATCCACAAAGTTGAGGCGATGCAAGGATAAGCGGTGTCACACCAAGAGATACCTGGGCCGGGACTGGACCCCACCCTCGATACACACCAATACACACGCACGCGCGCGCGCTGGGTCTGTTCCATTGAGCGCCCGGAAAGAGTGCCTTTCTTTAAGTGCCCGCGCTCAGCGAGCTCTCCCCGAGCAATTCAAACACTGAACGTTGAGCGGAGACGGAAAACAGAACTTACTGCTCCCCACCCACAACCTCCCTGCTGCCGCGGTCCGCAGGCCCCCTCCGAGCCGCGAGGCGGAGGCCAGGGCGCGCGTGCACCGCGGAGCGGCGAGCTCCCCTGGCAGCCGGAGCCCCAGTCGCGGCCACAGCCACACCTCCGTCCCCCGGAGAACTCGCGGACACCAAGCCTTTGCAACGCCCAGCAGCCGGGTGCCCACCTAGTGTGGCGCCGCGGGGAGCCTACGGAGTGGCCCGGCAAGACTCCGGTGGCATTGACTCGGGCAGCGCAGGTTCTGCCGCCCAGGCGGCCGCGGCCGAGAGCGCGCCCGGAGCAGCGGCGCCAGCCTCCCTGTCGCTGAGGGTGGCACGCCTGCGAGCGCGCGGAGCTGAGCCCCGGGGCGGCGGTGCCAGGGCCGGGCGTGCACTAGCTGCCTCGCGAGGAGAACGCAGAGACCCCGAGCCCGCGCCGGGAGGCGGAGAAGGAGCGCAGAGGTGCGACCTCTGGGCCCTGCGCCATCCACGTCCGGGAGAGCGAGCGAACGCAGCAGCCCAGGGTGCCATCTACCTGGTGAGTTACCCCCGTGGGTGCGTGTAGAACGGTTGGTGGCGGTGCCAGACATAGGGCCAAGCTGCTATGGGCGTCGTCTTCCAACAAGAGCCTTGGAAAGGGTCAGCGGGGGAGGCCAGAACCTCTGGGATTGTTGAGCCACTGACCAGTTCCACTCAAAAATGCAGGTGCACCTTTTACAGAGGAAATCGGTCTCCAAAAATTCCTTTCTCCCTACCCCATTGCTCTGCACATGCTAGGAACCCCCCCCCCACTCTGGCTTTAGATGAGGGTCTGTCTCGCCCCCGCCCCGCGAGCCAAGAGGGTGGCAACCCAGAGAGCCTGGTCTGGGAACGCGCCCGCCCGATGCCCAACGGGGGAGCAGAGCAGCTGGCTGGGTGGCGGGGAAACCCAACTGTTGCGGAATGGGGGAGGAGGCGTGAGTCCTATTGAAAGTTGGAGGCCGTCAAAGGGCCTGGTGGGGGGAAGGTCTGGGTGTGACCGGCCGTCGCAGCTCGGTCTGGAAGCGCCAGGTTTCAGGTGTCCGGGTGGCCGCGGGCTGCGTGGACGGCTGCAGCGGACGGAGGGCAGAAGCCGGCGAGCGCGGAGCCCCCGGGCCAGGTCCGGGGAGAGGCGCCACACCCGCGGCAGCTCTTCGCGGGGATCCTCCGCTGGCTCAGGGTGCGCCCAGGCTGGAAAAGGTCTTTCCTTTGGCTGGTGGGCCCGCAGAACCTGTCTTCTCTTCTCCCCTGCTCAGACAAAGGGCGCAGGGACCGTTTTGCTCAGGGAAAGAATGGGGGCTGGGGGCGTCCCACGACAGATGGGTCGCGGTTAAGACTTTAATTGCTGCCTTTTGGGGCGGATCAGGTTTCCTTTCCTACCTGCCGCTTCCCAATATGAAAAATTCCCCTCCTGCTGCACGCCTCCGACCTCAGGGCCAGGGTTAAAGGAAAAAGCAAAAGAAGGACGAAGCAGCTCGGCCCGGGAAAGCTCTGGAGCGCCCAGCTGACTTGCACAACTCACCCGCTTCCGGAGCGTTACCTGCCTTCTTGACTGAATGCCACCAGTTTCTTTCACGTTCGTCGCGTGTCCCTCCCTCTCTGTCTCCCCTCCCCCACGCCCTCCTGCTTAACGGCAAAAGAGCCTTTATTTGACCTCGGTAAATTTCTCCTTCGGTGGACACCGAACTAAAAAGGAAAATTATTGGCTAAGGGCTGTACGTGTTTTGTATAGTTATTATTTCAATAGTTTGCTTTTTCACTGATCTTTTCGGGATTTGCCTTTTTGACAAGTGTTTGAAAGTATAGTGTCATTTGAGTAACACAAATATCGCAAAGGAGCAGTTATAGCCTTCCTTTAACAAAAGATAGGCCTGAGCGTCCTAATCCTAAAGACTGAAGGAGGTACTTTGTAGATACAGGTCTTGATCGCGCAACGTTTGTTAATGAGTATTTTCCATTCAAAATCTAAACTAAATCGTGTTAATTTAAAAAAAAAACTTTCTCTCTGAAAAAAAACAGCTGTCTTAAAACGCAAAAGCATTTAGAAAGGGGTTCCTCTTATTATCAAATTCATCCAGGACTTTAGGGATTTTTCTCCAAACATTTGAAAACTAACAAAACCCCATCCCCAATCAAAGCAGAACATATTTGGCAAATTTAAGGCTTCTGAAACCATTTGTCACTTTTAGCATATTTCTTAGGAAAATGCAAGGGAACCTTGTTTGTTTTGTTAATGACAAAATAGAAACTTATAGTTTTCTTGGAGACTCCAATAATTCCACTACTTTGCATCAGAGCTGATGATTAATTGTCCCTGTTCTTCTCAGTCATGGAATGGCAGGATTTGCCTGCCTACCCACTTTAAATCCTTGTTGAAGGCAAGTCTTAAGTGTGTGGTTTATCCTGAATGAGATGTCCTGAGGGAAACAGAAAAGCCCTCAATATGAAGAGACCAGATAACAAGACTCTGGGTTAAGACTTGAAAAAATGAGATAAATGGTCTATGCCTCTCAAATAATTTAAAGTTCTCCTTTTTTGATGTAATTTAGTTTTGATTTCAATGTTTTCTAAGCTGTGTTCCCGATATTACATAAGAACTTGCATAATTTTCACAGACTTTTTATTTACATCCCTGTCACAAGTAAATGCAGGTTTTGGTCAAGATTATAGCAATCTGAAATAAAAAGGCAATGTTGTAGAGCTGTCAATTACCAAATAATCCATAACCATTCATTTCATCTTCCTTAATAAGTTATAAAATACTGTTGAATTTTTTAAAATGTAAAGTGGATTGGGAAATATTATAACTTATCCAACCTTCTGCCAAGTGCATGAATTCATTCTAGTGATGTTTTTACATTCTTGAGGCTTTTTAAATATCCACAAACCAACACCCTCCCACAGCAAAACCAAGAGTCTTCTTTGTTTCTTACTAGCTAAAGGTAGGAGAGAAGATTTAGTATTAATTTTGACAACCTCCCCTTCCCAGACTTTCAGACTCACCCACACTTTCTTTTACTTTAATAAGTAGCGCCAAAGACTACATGCCTTCCTTCCAGAGAGGAAAAAGGCATTTCTAAATTCCTCTACAGTTTTGCTCAGTCTTTTTCTGTGACTGGTCTTTTGTTATTTCTTGCAGTGTGTTTTGGAGGTGGGTGATGGAATGACCACAAATAGGAAGGGTCCGAGAGTTTTAAGGAATGCGTCTGTTGAATGTCTCAGGTTAGTCGGTGAATACTTGGTGGGAACTAACTTTCCAATAGGTTAACAAATGCATGGATGACAAGTTCAGATTTAAGGGTACTAGTACTTTCAGTTAGTTTCATAGCAAATAAAATAATTCTTCCTAATTATGTATAGCATGTGAAGGGCAGCATCCCACAGATGAGGCGTATGGGAAGGGTCATTTAACTCACAGAGTCTTTCTTTTGGAAGCAGGATTGGTGGGACAGTAGTTTGGTTGTGTCTGGATATTGGTTCTTACTCTTTCTTTTATACTAGGGTTTCATTTAAATGTAGCAAAATCATTCTTCTTAAAATGGCATTTATATATTCAGTCTGTAAAAAGTAACTGACTAGGAGCCTCTCTGGTGGAGAAAGGGGTTAAGCACTGCACTATGAAGCAAACCGCAGCCTCTGCAGCACAAGTTCGATCCGGGCGGGCCAGGGAGCAACCCACATGGCGAAGCAGATTTCTCCTGTCTCACCTGCTGCTCCCCTCAGCAGTGTGTTTCAGTCAGTCTGCCTGTTCTGTTCCCCACTCTGTCTCTGGTGAATCCTCTCATTGCCGCCCCCCCCCCTGGCCTGTACCCCAGCTCTCGTATGCATACGTAAATTAATCTTTTTAAAAAAGTAACTCATGAGCCACAATATGAGAGGTTTAAGAACCTGCAGACATGAGACACCCATCCCCTCCCTAGGCTTCTGCCCCTCCATTAATGCTGGGATTTTTCTCACCCATTCCTGTCCACAGGCCTGTGAGGTGTGTTCCCTTCAGACTGCCAGGCTCGCACTCAGGGCTGGACTTGATGAAAAAAAGAAGCTTTACAAGTAACCCAGTTTCTCCAACTTATTTGAGATGCTGCTTAGAAGTCAAGCAACAAAATCCAGCCAAGTTTTGCTTGCAATTTACAATGGTATTGCTGAAACCTGGGAAGTGATCAGTTAGAAGCAGACACCCCCAAACAGTCTCTGGCCACACAGTGATAGCTGGTTAGTGCAACTGGCTGACTAGACTGGCAGCAGTCCCTAGATAATTTTAAAAAGTCCTTTTGTAGATAAAAAAAAAAAAAAACCATATTCAACACACAGCGCGACTCATTCCTTGACACTATTCATGAGATGTAAACCAGTTTGGGTGTTATTTTCAAATTTTCTTATGTCCCATGAAATAAAAGTCGATGATAGAAATTCAAATAATTGAGAGAAAGGCTGAGCTTAGGGGAATGGGGAAGCAATGGAGGGCAATCAAATTTTTTTAAGCTAGAAATCTCTAAGAGTCGTTTATAAATCCATTTACCTCCTGGACCCCGGCCTTCGGTCGCTGCGACCCGGGAGCGCCCCAAGCGGACCCACCGCCCCGGGCGGTCTTAGCCTCCATTTCTGCGTCGGCCTCAGCGCCCCCAAGACCTGGCAGCCCGGGGGAACCGAGTTCCCGCTGCCGACCTAGAGCACCTCATGCACGATTCCTTTGCCCAAGCGGAGCCATTTCATCCCAGCCCGAAGTAAAACAGAAAAGCTGAGCACTCCCCGACCGGGCTTTGCACTTATTGGCTCCTGCTCACGGGTCCCCAACAGTTAGGATGACGTTGGCATGGCCGAGGGCGACCCGGCTCGGCGAGACTGCCCAGGAGGGGCCGGGGGGGGGGGGGGGGGCGGTGGCTCCTACGGCCGGAGGGAGGTGGGAGCTGGGGCGCCACCCCGCCGCCCGCCGCCAGGCTGACCTCCCAGCTGGGCTGCGACCGGTGCGTGTCCAGCGAGACTCCGCGGGCCCGGCCAGGCCTCCAGGGGTCGGGGCCGCCAGCGTCCAGCGGTCGCCGAGCCGGCCCCACTGACCTCGGGCCTCGGAATCGCCGCTGCCCCGACCCGCACCGCGGACTTTGGGGTGCGCTCGTGCTCTCGCCTCTCCTCACTCCCACCGCACCCCGCAAGTCCTGGGAACCCCCAATCCCACCCCAGCTGGGAAATGTGGGTGGTGTGGGAGCCTCTGAAGAGTTTCGGGATGGAGCCGGATCGGATTTTATAACCAAGTAACAGCTGGCAGAGAACTCTTGTTTGAAAAGTTTTCGATTCTCTAAGAGACCTGCTTTGCCCACTCGGGGTGTCACTGAAGGGTCAATTATTGGAGAGGTCAGGTGAAAGAGAACACGCCTGACGCAGTGGCACGCTCAAGAAGGAACTGGAACATCTCTATTAGTTTTGCTTGTCACTTTGAGTTTCCCGGAAAACACTTTTCTTAAGCCAGTTTCTGACGGAAAACACTTTAAGCCAATTTTAAACGGGGCTGGGGGGGGGCACCCCCGATTATCTCCTCCAAAAAAACCCTTTTCATGTCCTTTGTAGCCCCCACGAATCCTTCCTTCGAAGCCTTTTGGCCTGAACTGAGAATTTGTGGGTGTCTCCTGACCGTCCCGGGGAAGGTGAGAGAATTTTCCAACTAGATTCTCCTAGTCGGAAGGTAGAGGACAGTTTCCTTCCATCTCGCCCCCACCTCCCTTGGCCCCACCCTCCAGTTGGCCCTTTCATTCCAGCTTCTGAGCTCTCCCTGTCAAGCCCTTTTTCCTTTCTAAAAGAGAGGGGCTGGCCGCGCGCAGAGGACAAAGCCCCCGCGGCCACCTCCAGCTGCTTCCTCGGTCCATAAAGGGGGGACGCGCGCTTCCCCGGCCCGCCCGCCCCCCCCCCGCCCGGACTCCAGCCCCCCAGGCTTCTCCCAGACCCAATCCCACAGGATTCGAGCTCCTTCAAGAGCTGAGCTTCAGCATCCACGCTGAGAAAATCCCTCACGAAGGAATCCGAACTTTTCCACTCAGTTAAATGATCGCCTTCCTGGGTTGATTAATATGGAAGTCTGTTTTCCGCTCTTCCCACGCCCACACCCCCTTTTCATTTAAGTTCAGTGAGCCCTTGAATGTCACTAACAGTTGCATCTGTCCTTGTTTCCCTCCAGGCTCGCAGAGGAAGAGGCTACTTGAAACCCCGCGAAGCCTCAGCGCCCGCGCGTGTTTGGCGGCCCCGGGGAAGTGCAGCGCGCGCCCCGCGCACCTCGAGGGGCCGGCCTGACGTCACGGCCCTCGGCGGCTCCCCGGGGCGTGGGCAGGGGCGGGGTGGCGGCCCTGAACCCCGGGCGCCCGCGGGGTCCAGGTGGGGAGGCAGCCGCGCGGGCATGGGGGGAAAGAAGCGGAAGCTGTAGCCTGGAGGTGACTCATGCGAAGACTGAATGGGGTCGGTTCCTGCTGCAAATGGAGGGGAAGGGAAAAAAAAAAAAAACAAAAAACCTCGACGTAACCCTGTGATTCACAGCTTCTCCGAAATTTACATAATACAAGGACGTAGATGTAAACCTAAAGGACAAAAATAATAATTCAACAGCACATATTCCATTTTCGCACCATGGGCCTGGATATGTTCCCAGTGTTGGCACATGAGCTGATTTGCAGAGTTTTTGTCATGACAGAGAGTAACTGAACTTTTCGCACCACTGTTGAAAGACGAGGGAAAGAGAAATTGGCTGTAATGACGCTGATTTCGAGTTCTTGCGAAGGGCAAACGAGTTTTAAGTATTAAGAGCATATGCTGTGTTCAAAAGGCTGCGGGCCTGAAAGAGGGCCCCTCGAGGGCTTTCCAAAGGACACGCTTCCCTTTTATTTGACTGACGGGAACTTTTTATTTGAAAAGCAAAGTCATTGTCCTTTAATATTAATAAGTGATTCCAATGTATTATTTCCCCAAACAAGTGAAGGTCACAGCATCTACTGAAAGAGAGACCCCGCTGTCCAGCGGGCTCTGACCGCTCACTCCAAGAGCAGATGGAAAAGTGAAACGTGGTGGCTATTAAATACACTGATTACTGTCCTTGCCATTCGGATTCGGTTTTGTTTTCCACATTGGTAGAAAATGTAGAAACATTTTGTTTTCTACATTTGAACTGAGAGTCCACTAGTATATTCAAATTCTGGAACCCTACTTGCGGTATTTTCTTTGGGATTCCCTGTGGAAGGAAGGGAAAGGAGAGTCAGGGGTGAGGTTTGTGGGATCCCAGGGCCCCCTTATTTTGACCGTGGTGCACATGTGCCCTTTGGCTGGGCACAGCGTTTGGACACGTGGTGCCCTGGGTGAGTCACCAGTGCTCTCAGGTGCCAATAGTGGTTGCTCAAACTCAGAAACCTGACAGACCTTCCTTCCTCCTGCCCTGCCTTCTGAGTTTGACTTATTCCAGTTTCCCTTTTCTCTGCAAAATTCCTGTGAAAAACTGGCCGTTTCTCCCACATGCCATCCAATCCAGTAGTTTATGAATGTTATTTTAATTTCTACAACTTTTACTTAAAACGCTATGAGAGACTTAGGAGAAAACCTTCACTTTTTCAAGTATACAATGAAATGTGACCCCTGATTTTAGCCTCATTAAGGGGGAAATAGAACCCTCTTTCTCCTCCTGGTGATTTCCTCTCCTTTCAAAGCCAAACTCTTCAATTTTCCACCGAAACCAGAAACAGTCTTTCCTCCTTTCTGAGAAAGTTCTTGGTACCACCAAGTTGTCCCAGACATTTTGAGAGCTGGAATAAATGATGTCAGTTTTTGCCAGGCCTCTGCAGATAGTGAACATGTTGTCAACCTCAACAGGGTGGTGATAGTTCCCCCTTACCTTGAATTGTTTTTCTGTAAAATGGGACTGAATCAACACCCACTTTATTCCTGGGAGGCCTTGTGATCGAAAAGCAATTTAAAAATAAAACTGCTTAACATATGAATAGCTATTACCTTGTTAAAAGTTAAGCCATAAACTTCTCCCAACTATTTTTCAGACAACTGTACTTAAAAACAACCATTCTGCTCAATGATTTGATTTCTGCTAATATACACAGAAATGGTATAATACACATCATGAACGACCTTTGCTAAGTGACTTTGCACAAAATCCAGGACATTTCTTATTCTTGGGGACCTGCTCTCCCACATTCAGTCCTCAGTTCCCCAGAGAACATTTTCTTCTATAGATTCACGAATTAACCTTTCACAAAAGCTTTTCAAAATTCCCAGTTTGATTAAAGCAGATTTCATCTCCTAAGACACAGTTATGAATTTCTAAAACTAATCAAATTTGTGATGGATACTCCTAAGTATATGAAAGAACACACCTAGCAATCACACAATATAACAAGAACTCAGTAGTCTGACGAATGACAATGAATGATCTTCTTCAATACAGGCAACTTTGAAGTGTGTCTTTAAAAAATATTATCCCTATTTCCTGCAGGGAAGGCCTGACAAAAACCACACCCTGCCACCATCACCTGCTGTCCTGGCTTTTCCATGCATCACTTGCCACTGTCTGAAATCCAGACAGTGGGTTCTGATGTTTTACTTTGTAAAGAAACATTATTGAAATTTTCTCTACTTGCTTAGCAAAATCTTCCAAAGTTACAAAGTTAGTTAGTTTTGCTTTCTTGGAAGCTTAAGGAAATGATCTAAACCACAAACTTCAACATTTAAGGTTTTGCCCCTGCCCCTTGTACCCCAAAGAGGTATTACTTGTTGGGTATAGGGTGGTCATGTTAAAAAGCAAACCAAAATTGATTTAAAACAAAAAAAGAAATATTGGACACACCATCTTCATTTTTTTAAAGTTATATATTGTGTGTGTGTGTGTGTGTGTGTTGGGGGGGGAGGTTGGGTGTTCATAAATAAACCTGTGTCAGGTTATGGAAGGAGTATAGGAGTATCTGTTTGACTAATGGTCCTAGAATTTGAAGTCAACTCTTCACTTCCTCTGACTTGGGAACCATCCACACCAGGGGAACACACTGTGGAAGATTTCAGGGAAGTCTGACTACGCTTATTTACTGATTTTAAAAAGTTTCCCACAAATACAAACACCCATAAAGTAAAGTTGAAAAGTCCAGGGAGGTGAAAGGCATTGTGGGATGGTGTGTGTGTGGTGTGAGCCCCAGAAGCTGCTGGCTGACTGCAGTAAGGGAACGGTGGGCTTGGGAAACACCCCTCGGGTGAAAAAAAGTAGCTCTAGACCTGCCTAAAGCAGAGCGCCTTAGCTTCCCCTTTCAAGGGCGATCAGTTCCTGCAGCTGCAAGGTCCGAGTGCCCAGCCCCAGTACCCCCAGGGCACTTGTCTCCCTTGCTACAAACAAGCCCTTCGCCTCCTCCCCGCAAGAAAAACGCGCTTTCGGCGTTTTCCTGGCAGCCCAGGAGTGCGGCCAGCGCAGCACTCCCGGACAGGGCAGGGCCCAGAGGGGACTGTCCTGTTAGTTCGGCTGCCAAGGCTGAGGCCCTCTTGGGCGCACGGGATGTCTTGCGGCCTCCTCTGCCCTCTCTTCGATCAGCTAGGCACTTCCTAAGCGCGCACACTGTGGACACATCTCTGGTCTGGGTATCAGGATGCCATTTTAGGCCGCCTTAAACTTGAGGAAACCTTAATGAACACCGACTTGCCTTAAAATTCTCTTGAACTCAGCCTACTGGGCACAACAAGCCCACGCCTGGGATTCCTCATCTGCGATCTGGCGCTTCCCAGATCATACCTGGTCGCGTTCACAGCCCCTGACCAACATCCCGTGTGGGCACAGTGCCTGTGCGTCCTGCTGCGTCTCCTCCCAGCCGCAGCTCCCGGCCGGCCGCTCTCCGCAAGGCCGGCCTTCCTGGAGCCTGGAGCTGGCTGGCCCCTCCCCTACCTCTCCTCCCCTCCCACTAAACTGACCGTATATATAACCCTGCAACTGGACCACTCCAGCCAGTCCGCGCGGACACGCCAGGGGTGGGGCGGAAGATCCTGGAGTGCGCTTTAGAAGGGTCTCCTGTGGCCACCCCAGGGAGAAGGGCCGGTGAGTGGCGATACAGGCCACCCAAGATTTCTGCAGAATCCACCCTACTTTAACAATAATGACCTCAACTTGTTATTTGCCTCTCATCCTTACAACCACCTTCCTTACGAAGTACCCCTTTCACAGAGAAGTTGGGTAGCTTGCCAACGGAACGGGGTGTGGCTATTGAGGGAAATCGTGGCTCGAAGGCCCGGGCTCTATGGTTCCCCAAGCGCAATCATGTACATTCATGTACATTCATTTCTGTTTTTTTTTTTTTTAATCAGGGATTTTCTTTATTTGAGAAAAACATCAAATTCTTCGCTCCCACAGCCTCCTCTCCCTGTAGCATGCGCGCACATTGCAGTGTCTACGCCTTGCTGCCAGCGATCGCATATTGCAAAGGGGATGAAGGTCATGGCCGGCTGCCACCCGTGGCTTCTGGAGCTCAGAGCTGTCGCGCTCACCTCACAGCCTCTTTCGGTCCCGCTCCCTTAACTCCCTTACACCAGAGTGACACACAAGAGCAGACGGAGGCGGCTGCGCGCCCTCTCCTCCCCGCAACGTGGCCGAGCTGCCCGCTGAGCCCCTGGCGAGGGTCCCCAGGCAGCCTCGGAGCCGGGCGCTTTCGAGGACGTCGCTGCCGCAGGTCCAGCTCCTCCCCGCCTCCCGCCAGCCTCGCCGGCCTCTCCCGAAGGTCCTGTCCGTCCAGCTGGCAGCCCTTGAAGGGAAAGGAACTCGTGCCGGGGCGCAGGGAGAACTTAGCCCCGAGACAGACTCGGCGCTGCCCTCGCGAACCCGCGCACACGCCGCGCTCTGGCGCCCGAGGCTGCAGGTGGGGGCGCGCGGGGGGCCGAGCGCGGGGTCGCCTGGGCCGCGGTCCCCGGCATCTGGTGCCCCCCGCCCGCCGTGCGGGCGCCTCTCTAGGCAGCATCGATCTACCCCCTCCCTTTAGGGACCCGGACCGGGAAGTTTCCCTTTTCTGTTTTGGGGGTGAGCAGTAACGGTGACCAAGCTCTGCCTTTAATCTGGCCCCTTCGGGTTCCTTTACCAAAGGCGCGGCGGGAGGAGCCCCGAAGGCTGGGTCTGGCCTCGGGGCGCCCGGCCAGCTAACTGGTGTCCCCGCAGGGTTTCGCGGGGCGCACTCCTCTTGGAAGGCAGACCGTGGCGGCAGGAAGGGGTTTCGGGGTTCCCTGAGACGCAGCAGTGACCTCTTTCCCACTCTCTTAAGAGC